CAGGTGTGTGACATTCCTTTCTTCTATTTGCCCTACTTGTCTGATTGCTACTTGCTTTCCTTCAATGGATCATCATCCCTAAAACGGAACATCTTGTCTTTTTCTCAGACTACCCCTCTTCTCTATTTGCCGGTTTCTGTCACAAGCACCACTGTCCTTTCAGTGTCCCTGGTTAGTAATCTTAACATTATCTCTTGCTCCTCATTCTCCCTTGCCTCACATATCCAGGCAGGTACCAGCTCTTGTCATTTATGACTGCAACATCTCTCCAGTCCTGCCTGCTCTCAACCTAAGACGCCCTTCTTTTTCCAGGCTGCTGAGGGCAGCTGTTATCAGGGGTCACTGTCTCAGGTATCCTTAGAATTTAGGCAAACTCCCATCTGTGGTCCACATACAGTCGTCTGCCCCAGTAAAAGGCCTTGCCTCTTGTTTTCCACGGAATGATGACAAGCCTGGCCTTCTCTCCAAAGGCAATCTCAGACGCTCAGTGGGAAATGTCTGCCTACAAACTCTTGACCCCTCCTTTCTCTCGCCTGTGTTGCTACCCCTTCTTCCCCCAGCTCCTTGCCAAATTAACAGCCTGTGTGTCAGGCTACCGGGAAGGTAATGAATATTTAAAGGCCCTGCACTCACACCGAGCAGCTTGTCTTCAGCAGCTGACAAGTGGGTCAGATTGGGGTTTTTATTACTGTTCCCCATGCTCTCTGTTACCTGTGTAGAGGCCGGTTCTTCCAGAGCCAAGCTGAAAGGGCTCAAGGCTTTCCAAGCCCAGTGGCTTCAGTAAAGCACAGGCATCCCAGAAGAGAATGAATTAGGTAAATATGCTGATGCCAGATACCATTTTCATTAAAAAGGCCATTTTTTTTCCTTCTCCTGGCTATCCAGTCAGGGCAGTGGTTAATTGAACACAATCCTTTTTTTCCTCTCGAGTAGTTATGTTTGAATGTTAGGCTGGAATGAATATCCACTCTTCTTTATCAGGAGGCAGCTTCCCAGGCTCAGATCTGCAGTTTGAGGGTGTCATTCATTTGGTTAGTGTCCCTAAAACATTAAATGTGTGTATTAGTGTAAAACACCAAAGGCAGATCCTTCCAGGGAGGGAGACTCCCCTAGAAGCTTGTTTTCTTTGCCCCAGTGCCTGGTTTCTCCTCAAAATCGGATTCTAAGTTGACTTGAGCTGGACTTAATGCATACTTTTGCCCTGTTCTTCTCTGGAGTGTCCAACTTGTCACTGGGGAATTTTCTTTTTCTCAGATTTAGAAAAGTTACTTCAGTTTTGCTTCTGTTAAGCAGCTATAGGCTTTCAGCTGTCTCAGGCCATCCTCAGCTGTTATAACTTTGTGGACACTAGGGATCTCTTGCTTGTGAAAGAGTAATGGGGGGAAGGGGTGTGTGAAGCCTGAGGAGAAGATAAATCCAGAAATAGTGACCCTGGGCTTGAAGCATTTCACATTGTTCTGGGTGTGTTGGCATCATGCAGACAGAGAAAGGGAAGAGGCTGGCTGCAAAGTTCAGGTTAATTGGGCCCTACTGGGTCTTATGAAAGTTCCGCTAAGTGAGCCTCCTTTCAAGGCTTGATAGATAATCAAAATGTCCATGTCGGCTCTGCACCACCATCCAGGCATTTCACCTGCCTGTGGTAGACTGTAGTTTCAAGCACTCACTGATGATCTATTGGCAGAAAGGTCAGGGCTAGCAGAACATGTAATCCTCCATCTTCCTGTTTGCAGAAAGAAATTTCTGGCCTTTGATTTTTAACACTTGTTTTTGTTTGTTTTGTTCTTGCTGGTTGTGGATAGTGACTGACTAGGCCACCAGCTTCCCCCGCACCTGACTCGTACTGACAGTCTGCTGGCCCAGAAAACCTTGCAGTGTCAAAAATCGAAAGGGATTTAGAGTTCTCCTTTGAAGTAGCCCAGTCTCATTCTCCAGTCAGAAATCAATTCCCCCTCTATTACATTCTTAACAGATGGTCCCTGGTTAAGCATGTCCCGTGTCAAGGCACTCACTACCTAGCAGGGTAGCCTATTTCATGGTTGGTCAGTGCTAATTGTCTCATTAAGCTAAAATGTTTACAACTGTTACTCCTAATTGTATACACAGGGGTCAAAGAGAACAAGTCTTGTTTTCTTCTGTGTAATATCCCTTCAGATACAGGAGACAGTCGTGGCTGTACCTATGTATTCTTCCAGCCAAGTACCCCCTCCTTCCCACCCTGTCCAATTTCTACTACCCATCTATGTATGGTGTGGTTTTATCACACTCTAGGATGTGCACCTGCTTGTCATTATCTTGAATTAAAATGTTCTCAGATTTGGACAGTACTTCAGCTCTCAACGAGTATTCAATTCACTAATCATTTATTAAACAATACAAGATAAGGTACAAGATACTAGGGGTGCAAAGACAGACTGAAATCCTCTCCTTAGGGGCTTTCATTCTCTGGGAGATAAAAACATTCTCAGAAGTGCAAGGACGGTTGAGGAAGACAACTCTTAAAAACTGGGTGAATCAGGCAAAGCTCCTTGTGGAGGGTGAGCCTGGAAGAGCTAGAGGTAGCCTGCCGGGGCCCAGGAAACATCACAAACCTACACAAGAATTTCTGGCAGATGACAAAAAGGCAGGCGATGGGAAGCAAGTCTTGTCCCCTGCACATTAGCTATCAAATCAGGTCTGTGGCAGCTGTTGTCTCACCTTCCCATGGTCCTCAGATGATACAAGGTGAGGTCTGAAGGTCCTGGAAAGTTATCTCATTTGATCCTCACTACAATACTGGGAGGCAAGTGCTGTTACCATCCTCCATTTTACAGTTGAGGGAACTGAGGCAGGATTTGAACTTGGGTCTTCCTGACTCTGGGTTCAGCTCTCTATCCACTGTCACCTAAGCTGCTTCCCCTTCTAGTGGAAGTTAGGGCTCCGATGTTGACTTGAGTTTCTTTCTTTTTTTTTAAATTTTTTTGTCTTTTTAATTTAGTATTTTTTATATCCCCCCAGTTACACACAAAAACAATTTTTAACATTTCTTCTTATAAGTTTGAATTCCAAATTCTCTCCCTTCCTCCCTCTCCAGCCCCCCACCCCACATCAAGAAGACAAGCAATTCAGTATAGGTTATACATGTGTAGTCATGCAAAACATTTCCATAATGGCCATGTTGTAAAAGAAAATATAACCCCCCCAAAAAAAAAAACCCTCAAAAATAAAGTTGAAAAGTATGCTTCAGTCTGTATTCAGACACCATCAGTTTTCTCTCTCTTGGCATGGGTAGCATTTTCCAGGATACGTCCTTTAGAGTTTTTACTTGAGTTTCAAGACTGATACAGGCAGTATGGTGGAATGGAAAAACAACCTAGATTAGAGTCCTAGCTGGAAAATGTACTATGTAGGTGACTCAGGACAAAACATTATTCCTCAGGCTCAGGGCTTCTTTCCTTGGTCCTTAGACCAAAATCAGCTAGTCCTGCATTTTACAGATGGAAAAATCTATACCTAAAGTCACAGGTAGTAAGTAGCAGAGCCAAATCTCACATCTCCAGATCTAGTGCTCATGCGTTTCCTGAGCTTGAGGCCACTTATCTGTAAAATGCAAGGGCGGGGGAATGGCCCATTGGGCTATATGGGGTGATAAAAGGGGCAGATGTCAGGAAGCTCTGTGGGAAATCTCTCCCTACCAACCCTCGAGCTCTCCTTTCTCCTGCCTATGTTGCCACCCCCACTCTGAAGGGTGGTTAAAGTAGCTATCTAGTCTATGAAGTCAGAAGACTCTCTCCCCCACCCCTTCCCCCAACTGGGTCTCCAAAGCTCCTCAAATAGATTGAGACACATCGAGATACAAGGTCTTCTTTTTAATCAGTAGTTGGCATTGGGTGCTCAAGTAAACAATAATTTATTAAGTGCCTACTATGTGCCAAACAAAATACTGGAGTTAGAAAAGAAAGGCAAAAGGAGTCCCTGTCCTCAAAAAGTTCAGTCTAATTAATGGGGGAGACCTCATGTCAACAGCCATGTACAAACAAGATGTATGCAGGTGTATACAGGATCAGTGGGAGATCATCTCAGAAGGCCCTACATTGAGGACTGGGAAGGGCTGAAGTGAATTTTGGGCATGGCAAAACAGTTAGTAAGAGACCAGCGTCCCTGGATCAGAGAGGACATGGAAGAGAGAGAAAAGAATGCTGGGCTTGGAGCTAGGAGACCCTTTGACACCACCTGTGTTAAGTCCTTTTGATTCAGCTCAGTTTCCTCCTCTGTAAATTGGGGGTGATGATACACGGTGTAAGAGGTACACAGAAATGGGACCGTTTGTTGGCATCGAATATAATTTAAGCAAGAGAGCCAATTACCCTATGGTCTTCCAGACCCTGGGATTTGTGAAGTCCTGCTCTGGACTTGTTTCCTTCTGAGCTGACATGGGGGAAACAGATGTTCTTATTGATTTCTTGTCTTGTGTGTTGGCAGAGAGCAGAGTCAGGTCTTGGGGAGTGGAAGAACTCCAGGTGCTCCTGCGTGGCCAGATGGACAGCATTCCTCCCTCTCACCTGCCAGGCCCAGCTGAGTTGTTGGACTGAGGAGAGGGGAGCAAACCTGCAGGAGGTGCTACCTGAGATGCCTGATCATGGATCCCCGGGGTCCCATCCTGCATCCCCTTCTAGACGTCGGGTCAGATCACCCCTGGAGTTGTTAGGGCCTGGTTCAGACAATGTTGAGGACCCGTTACATGGGAGCATTTCCCCCCAGAGAGCTGCCAGGGGTAGAGTTAATGAGCTATCCCAGTGGGGGTGGGGTCCATGCCAACCCAGTGTAATCAGTGCTGCCTCTGAGGCTTGCAGTTTGTGAATAAACCATGCTGGTCCTGCCATGCGTCTCTTCTCCATGCTCATCCAGCCTCTAGCCACTGTCAAGGGGGTGACCAGCCTCCTCTGGGGCTTTCCTTTGGGCTTCAGAGGAGGAAGCTTTAAGCCAGGTTTGCTTGGCTTAAATGATAAGATTTAGAGTTGGGAGGGACTTTGAAACTACTAACCTTGTAACCTTGGGCGAGTCAGTTCCCTTGAGCCTCAACTTCTAATCTGTAAAATGAGGGTTTGTACTAGGTGGCCTCCAGGTCCTTTTCAAGGTCCAGATCCATAACCCTTTGACTTCAGAGAACTAGTTCAATCCTCTCATTTTACAAATAGGGAAACCGAAACCCAGTGACTTGCCCAGTGTCCCACAAATAAGTACAAGAGGATCGATTTGAATCTAGGTCTTACGTTTCCAAATCTCACGCTTTTTCCACGCTACCATTCTGCCGTGAGCTTTTGGGTTTTCCCATCCACTTTCCTTGTCCCAAGAGGGCTGATCCTTTTGGCAGTGGCGTATAATTGTGTTAGCAGGAACCTGCCAAAGGACAGGAGAGACATAGGACAGCCAGAGTAGCTTCGTTTGTTGAGTGGGGTTGGGAAGAAGGCTCTCTGTGTAGGGTAAGCTGCAGGGGAGCCCAGTCATCTGGATGGTGCCCGGGAGGAGGGAGGATGACCTACTCTATCCCTCACGTTTATCCTCATTTGTCAGGTGATTAAAAAATAACCCCATTTTGTTACCTTCTCTTTGTATGACCTTAGGTAAGTGACATCGTAACTCCTGGGCTCTGGTTTCCTCATAAATGGAGAGGGTAGGACTAGATGCCCTGAGGCAAATCTGTGATCCTATAATCCCAGAGAGGTTCAGGACCTGCCCTAGTGAGTAACCCTCCAGGGCTTAGAAGTCTAGGCCCCAGACCCCCAATTCAACCCTCTTTCCACTGCACTTGGAAAGTTCATTGTAATAGGAAGCAGCATGATGTTGTGGTACTAGCACTATAAACTATAAAAATGGAAGTTAACCACTAGGGGCAAGACCCTTTGCCCTCTATTGGGGAGAGGGATTCAAAGACACAGTCCCTGTCCTCAGAAGTTTCTAATATGATAAATAGGAATAAATGCCACAGAAAAGGTAAATTTTAGGGGCAGCTAGGTGGCTCAGTGGATAGAGCACCAGCCCTGGAGTCAGGAGGATCTGAGTTCAAATCCAGTCTCAGACACTTGATACTGGCTGTGTGACCCTGGGCAAGTCACTTAACCCCACTGCCTGGCCAAAAAAGAAAAGGTATAACTTAAAATAAGACAATTTTAGAAATCAGAGACAGTGATCAACTTCACTGAAGGAATCAAGGCAGACTGAATTTGTGGAGGAGGCATCCTTGTACCTGAGTAAGGGAGCCCCTTGCAGCTGTGGAAGAAGTGCCCAATGAGATGATTAGGGTTTGGTAACATTAGATTTGGGAAGTTAGAAGACTTGGGTTTGAATCCAAGTTCTGAAAGTGTATGACCTTGGGCAAATCACTTGACTTCTGGGCCTCCTAGGTAAAATGAGAGAGTGTCGTGATCTCTAAGGGACCCTTCAGCTGAAGAACCTATGGGGGCTTGTACAACTGCTTTTTTCCCTGGCCATGGACTTACTAGTTTTGTTCAGTGACTCATTCCTGTGTGCCTCTGGACATTCTAGAATGAAGTCCCTGTTAACATCCACTTGGCTCCTCTCATCCCTGCTCCTGGGGCCAGTTGTGGAGACTGGCCGAGCCATTTATTCCTAGCCCCGCCCCCCCTTCATTATCTGCTGGGCAAAGCTCCTTTACCAGAAGAGGCCCTAGGGCCTGTGCCAGCTCCCTTAGCAGGAGCGAATTGAGTTTCAGAGGGATCTGGTTACAGCTTGGTCTCTGGGAGTGGAGGGGAGGTGGTTGATGTGGGTAGGCTCAATATTTTCATGATAGGTTGGGAAGATGGTTGCCCTTCACCTGAATGTAGCCCTGAGGGCCAGGGGCCTACCTACCTGTTACTACTTCATTCTGGGGTGGCATGTTAGTGCTCCATGGAGATAAGTGTTGGTCACAGATCATTCACAAATCATAGCAGTCTTACAAAAGGGTTTATACAGAGTTTTCCTAGAGAGGACCCTACCAGTTGAATAGTTCAAATAGTAACTATGTTTTACAAATGAAGAAATTGAGACTTAGAAAAGGTTTCCTTTTCATTCATTTGGTCACCTAGCATTTATAAAGCGCCCATTGTGTGCCAGCCTTGGAAATGCAGACAAAAACATAACAGCCTTTCCCTTCAGGCAATTTACATTTGACATTCTCATCTTAAATCCTGTGAGAACTCCCACTTCTATAGCTTCAAGATTTACAAAGTACTTTACACTACAGCCCTGTAAGAGAGGCATTGAAAGTCTTAGGAGCTCTGTGTTATAGATGAAGAAAATTACTAGTGACAGTAAATAACCCTTTCTAGTCCCAATCTCAATTTGGGCTTCCTGTTCTGGGCATCCCCCAAGATCGAGAAGTCCTGTTCCCGGATCCCCTGGAACGTGAGGCGACTAAACTAATTTGGAAACCACAGCTTGGAAGCCCCCCTCCCTATTCCTTAATAAACCCCCTTAATCATTAGGGATAAGAGAGAGGAGCCGGCCACAGTCTTCCCTGTCCCCCTCCCCTTTCCTTTGCCGCATGAGTGAGTCTGGGGATGTTACTGAGCCATAAATATTTCAGCTCAGGCTTTCTCAGGGCGTTGCCAGGGGGATGAGCTGGGGGGGTGGGGGTGCTCCTTCCCAGCTGCCCCTGGGACTGGAAGGATGGCAGCTCCCTCCCATTAGGGAGCCCTTGCTTTAGGCTTGTTTTCGCCGGTGGGTCAACCCCAGGCGTGGGGGATGGGCCGTGACTCGGAATAACTCTGGCCCCAATCCGCCTGCTTCCTGCCACTGTTGCCTCGGCCCCCCTCAAGGGCCCCAGAGCATCTCAGATTGCCAGAGCTGGGCCCGGCTGTGTTGGTGAGGAAGGACGAAGGCTACACCAAGAGCAGGGGCTTCCTCAGTACTAGGAAGTGAGGAAATGGGCAGGTCTCACCCATCACTTTCCCCCAAAGCCTGAGAGGCTTTGCCCCAAGCCCCCAGCACCTACAGTGCACCTGGGCCAGCAACTTCTGAAGACGCCATTTTGATAAAACAAGAAGAGTGGGCCAGCTGGCCTAGGATTTGGGAAGACCTGGGTTCAAGTCTTGTCTCTGACTCACGTGAGCCAATCACTCAAGCTCTCAAGTGCCCCAGGCAGTTAAATTACAGATGAGTTGGTGGTTTGTATTTACCTGCATTGGTAGTGGGACTTCCCCACACTGAGGCAGTCGGGAACTCCCTCTTCAGCATTTTGTAAACTGCATTCCTTATGAAGGGTCAGAGGAGGTGAGCATTCATTATCTTTACGCTGCTGTTGAGGAAATGAGAGAAGTGACTTATCGTCACAGAGGTCGTTAAGGGTGGAGTTGGGGTTTGAGCCCAGGACCTCGACTTCCAATTCCGTTGTGCTTTCCCAAGCACCACACTCACCCTCAGGTGTCCAGGCTGGAATTCATCTTGTCTCAAGGATACTCAAGCTGAGCATTTAGCCCCACCTCCTCGTGCTAGTATACATAACATCCCCAAGCTGGGCCTCCGGCCTTCTCCAGAGTTCTCATTACTCAAGGCCAAGTTCTTCAGGGACCTTGGTGTGCTAGGATTTTCAATGCTTCAGTCCCCTCAGGGAAAAATAATGAATGACTACAAGCCGCTGAGGGTATCTTTCATGCTTCCATAGACCTGGAACATCTGGTCTATTAGAAGACAGAGGTGGTGAGTCTCCCACCTCAGAAGCTGTGCCTTTTGTCTAGCATCCTAGTAGTGCTAGGGAAGCTATGAGAGTAAGACTACATGATAAGGATGAAGGGGTGGGGCCAAGAGGGACAATTCCTGGCTACCCACTACCCTCTGGTGGCTAATATGTGCACTGCACAAGATCTAGTTTGCCCTCTACAAACCAGCAGACTTAAGAGGTCCTGTGAAGCCTCAGACACATACTGGCTTTGTGACCCTGGGCAAGTCACTTAAACCAGTCTGCCTCAGTTTCCTCATCTGCAAAATGAGATTGAAAAGGACACAGCAAACCGTTCCAGTATCTTGGCCAAGAAAACCGCAAATGGGGTCACAGAGTCAGACACGACTGAACAACAAAAAATTATACATAGATCTCAAAGTTTCATACCCTCCTATTCCTATGGCTTGTCCCCATCACCCCTTTCTTAGTCCTATTCTTAGGCTATATAACCTCCTAACATCCCCTCTGTTCAATTCAACAAATATTAAGTACCTATTGTGTTTATTCCTTCCTAAAATTACTTGGTGTTAACATCAAATATAATATTTGCATATCAGCATATGTCTTATATCGACTAGCAGACATAAGTTCCTTGAAGACCACAACTGCCATTTTTATCTTTGTATGTCACCAGGGCCTAGCACCCTGCTTTGCCACACAGTAAGTGATTAAGAAATGCTTACTGACCTCCAGTAGTTTTCAGTCTATGGGGCAAGACAAGACTGCATAGTAGAAAGAGTATTGTATTGAGTCAGGGGACCTGGCTTCAGACCCTAACTCTTGCTCCCCTAAAGTAAGACAAGCCACTTAACTTTCCTCCTTTGCAAAATGTGGTTGTCGGCCTAGATTATCTCTATGATCCATCCAGTCCAGTTCAGACATTTATTTTTCATTGTGTCCAAGTACATTAGATTGTTGTTCAGTATGTTGGAGGTCAGAAACATCTTGGAAGGGAAGGATCACTTCTAGTGGGGAGGTTCAGAGAAGACTTCTAAAACCCAGACATTCTCCATCTTCTAAGTGGCCCCAGCCCTAACTGTCCAGTATGTGAGCTTGAGCTTCAAGTGACGCATATGAGGTTGATTGGCTGGTTTATCATACTTTGAAGGGCAGTTCCTGGAGGAGGAAGCTTGAATGAACGCTAGTTTCGGTTCTGTGGGACCTGAAGCCCATGACTCTGCCTCTCTGGGGTTCTTCACCCCTAAAGGAAATCCTGAGGGGAAGCAAAGTTGAGGTCATAGTCCTCTTCCTATGACCCTGGTGGCTGGGTGGTCAGGTGACTGGTCACTTCCCTCCCCCTCTCCCCTTCCCAGAGCATCTAAGGATGTGATTTCAGAGGAAGGGAGAGGTAAGTTTTACTGCCCCAGATAATATTGAGAAGGGGAGGGGAAACTGGCCTCCAGCTGAGGGACAAGAAAGCTGGAAAGAAAAACTCAGATACTAGCAATGGGTGTTCTGTTAGCACCCAATATATCGTTTAAAACAGGCTGCTTTTTTTTTTTTTCGTGTCATGATGGTCTAGAGCATCTATGGCAATGTGCCCCATTCTGAGTGCCGTGTTTAAAGAAGAACATTGGGGAAAGTCTGGTGTATCCAGAGAAAGGTGATGATGAGGGGGGGAGCCTTCCACCACTGCCATATGAGGAATTGGTTTAAGGAACAGGGCATGTTTCACGTTGGAGCAGAGAAGACAGAAAGGGGACTCGAAAGGGCTGAGAAAGGAGAAAAGAAGGACCAAGGTGTGAAAGGGGGAGGGGACATCTCAGCTCCATATGTGGCAGAACTTCATAGGTGAGTTGGGCAACCTGGGAATACCTCACTTTCACTGGAGGTATCCAAAGGCTGGGTCTGTTAAGGGTGCTCCAGACTTCTAATACCCCTAAAACAGAGTGGGATTCTTAACATTTTATGTATCTCGGACCCCTTAGGCACTTCGGTGAAAAGCCTACAGACCCCTTCTCAGAACAATGATTTTAAATTCATAAAATAAAATATTTAAGATTACAAAGGAAACCAATTACATTGAAATAGTTATCCAAATGAAAAAAGTTCTTGGGATCCCCGGTTAAACCCCACCCTGCACAAAAGCTCAGACTGCCTTCCCTACTGATGAGGGAAGGGCTGGGGGTCTCCTTTGCAGAGTGCCAATATAGAATCCTAGTGGGTATGAACTGGCCAGAACTGAAGCTTGGGAAGCAGGAGGACTGGGTTCTAGTTCTCCATTCTGCCAGTAACTTGCCATGTGACCTTGGGCATAATCCCTCAGAATCCTAGATTTAGAGCTGAGGAGGATCCTTAGATTGTCATCATCTGGAGACCAGCGCCTTAGTTTTACAGAGGGGAGAAACTGAGGCCCAGAGAGGGAAAAGGATTTTGTCTAGGTCACACGGGGTGTGAGACAGGAATCAGGTACTGAGTCCCCCAGGACACTCTTTGTAAAAGAGGGTAGGACTAGATGGTCTCTAAAGACTTCCAGTTTATTCAAACCATGCCTCTGGGGCTTGTGGAGAGGGTAGGAAAAGAAGAGGAGGAGAGGACCTTTCACCAGGCTGCCCCGCGGCTGCCCCTTTAAAGCGTGCCCCCGCCTCTCCTCTCCCTTCCTCCTATGCAAATAAAGCAGCAGCGCGGAGCGAGAGCGCGCGCCTCAGGCCCCGGCGCGGGGTTGGGGTGGTTTGTCCCCTCCCGGCCGCCGTCGCCGCCGACATATTGTCCGCAAGAGCGGCGGCGGCGGCGGCGGCGGCGGCGGCGAGGGGAGCGCCGGGGGAGGAGATGGGTGAGTGGTGCTGAACCAGGGAGCAATGGACCGGGCTAGGTGAGGTTAGATTGGGGCTGGCTGGGGCGGAGATGAGGACGTTGGGTAATTGGAACATCGAACCACAGCTCTCTTCAGACCGGAGTCGCGCGCCGGGTGTCGGGAGAAGGAAGAAAAGGGGAAGGGAGGGGAAAGAAGGGAGGGGGGCGTGCTCCTCCAGTTCGGGGGCGGGGCTTAGATGGGGTGGGCGGGGCCTGGACCGGGAGCGTTGCGGTGGGGCCGGGGCCTCTAGAGTCCGGGCGGCAAGGGTGGGGCTTGCTGGCCGCGGGGCGGGGCCTCAGGAGGGGCGGGGCTACCCCTCCCTCCCGGTTGCGGACCGTGCCTTCCAGGCTCCTCTCATTCTCATGGTTCTGCTCTGTGTTTGGGGACGCAGGAGGTCGGAGAGGCCCCAACAGGACGTCCTACTGCCGAAACCCACTCTGTGAGACGGGTCCGAGCGGTGGGCCCGGGCACGCCTCCAGCTCTTCGGTCACGGGCGTGCGGTCCAGGGCTAGGTGAGCCACGCGCCCCCCGGGGGTCACCCCAGGGCTGCGAGATGTTAGGGGGGAGCCGAGGAGTGAAGGGGCTCCCCCTGCTCCTCAGGGTCGACACTAGGAAGGAACTATTCTTATCCTTAAGGTATTAACAATTATAATAATAACTAACCTTTATATAGCACTTGCTGTTTGCCTGGCACAGTGTGCTAAATCCTTTATAATTATCTCATTTGATATACTTTATCTATAGCGCGGCCCATTTTTGCCAGCCTCCCCTTCCCCTCACTTGCATACCTAGGACCTTGGGCCAGTCCTCCTGTGTCTTCAGGGGGGAGGTGATCGCTCTAGGTGGCTGCTTTAGCAAAGGTACCCACTGTGTGGCCCACGAAGGACAGTGGGAGAAGCAGAAAGCTCAAGATGGCATTCACTGCTTTCAGAGAGCTCACAATCCAAAGGATAACAAGTTAAGTGCATTAGGGCATTGGGGATTAAGTGCATTAGAGAGTGGGAGAATCCTTGAGGAGGCAAAGTTTGAATTGGACTTTTAAGCATAGGTAGGAATTCTGTACATTTAAGAGAAAGAGGGATTGTGTTAGGTTAAGCAAAGAGGGAAGGCACAGGAGGGTGGGTGCACAGGGCATTTTTGAGGGTGCAGATAATGTTTTAGTTAGTGTGCATACCCTTCATTCTTCACCCCTGGAGGATGGAGTAATATGAGATAAAACCAGAAAGGGCTGGAATTTGGGCTTTACTGAGTAGAAGGTAAGGGGGCCAGTACAGAGTTTTGAGCAGGGATGACTTGGTCAGATCTGCAAGTAAGAAAGCTTGCTGCGGAATGGGAAGGACTATAAGGACAATATTGCATCCTCCTGGGGGGATGATAGTTAATCAACTAGCACTTACTATGTGCCAAGCACTCTGATAAAGAACCTACAAGTAGGGTGGTAGAAGAATGAATGGGATGATATGAGAGATGTGGAAGTGAATCCAAAAAGATTTGGTACCAGATTTGATGTGAGCAGGGAGAGAAGTAAGATGTACTACCAAGGTTTTTAACGTGGCAGACTGGATGAATGAACGCTTATTCCCCAGACAGAAATAGGGAAGTCAGAAGAAGGAGCAAGTTTCAGGATAAAGACTTTTATTTTAGACATACTGAGTTTCAGGTGCTGGTGGGAGATGTAAGTGGAGATGGCAGTTAGATTATGGACCTCTACCTCAAGAGACTGTGGCTCCCTGGTCACCCCTTCCTAATGTTGACCCCCTCAGGAGCAGCTCAGGCACAGGCCTCTCCAGTCCCCCTCTGGCTACTCAGACAGTGATCCCCCTTCGGCACTGCAAGATCCCAGAGCTGCCCGTCCAGCCGAGCATCCTGTTTGAACTGCAGCTCTTCTTCTGCCACCTTGTGGCTCTCTTTGTCCACTATATCAACATCTACAAGACCGTCTGGTGGTACCCGCCTTCTCACCCGCCTTCACATACCTCCCTGGTAGGTTCCTGCTCTGCTTGGGTTTCCCATCTGGATGTTTGCCTGGAGTCTCAGCATTCCCTCCCAACTCCGATTACTACTTGAGGACCAAAACACTCCCCCACTTGTCTGGCTCTACTCCCCTCCCTCAGAGCTGAAGGCTAATACTTAAGTTGGCCTACCTCAGTTTCCTCCTGTGAAAAATGAGGGACTTAGACAAGATGGGCCCCTAAGAGCCGCTTCAGCTCTGACGTTCCATGTGATCTACTGACATGAAGCCTGTGTAGGGAGTTGTGTGAGGGCCAGATCCCCGTAGAGTACATTTTATGTCCTCCACCTGATGCCACTGTATTCTCAACCCATTCTGTGCCGCTGATTTGTAAAGTAATCGTGGGCAGAGTGAGTTTCTCTCTTTGAGTATCAGTTTCACCTTTTATAAAATGAGGGAAGTAACTCAGGTAATCTCTTAGGTCCCTTCTGGCTTTCTAACTTTTCTTCTGTGATTCTACCCCTGAAGCAAGGTGCATAGTACCTGGGTGGTTGGGAGGAAATTTTACAAGCCCTCAACAGGTCTGTAACTGGGAGTTATTGGTCTTGTTTGTGGGGAGGAGGGCTCCAGCACTGCCCTGCATCACCCTTGGACTTGTTTCCCTAACAGAACTTCCACCTGATTGACTTCAACGTGTTGACCGTCACCACCTTGGTGCTGGGTCGACGGCTCATCGGGGCCATCGTGAAGGAGGTAATTTGCTCTATAAAGGGTTGCTCTTCTTATCCATGTCTATGTTCTCATCTACTCCGGTCCCCCAAGGTAGCTGCCACAGTTCCCTCCGTGGCCTGGTTTTGCCCACTTCCTCATGTGGTCCCAGCTGGGATCTTACTCTCCCCTGCTGGGCTTGCTTGGAGAAGAGCTGAACAAGTGATCTCCCTTACTAAGGTCAGCTCCATGGGCTTCTCAGAGGAGAGCTTAGCACTGTGTTGGACAAGCTTGTTGGTGTAGGAGGAAGAGCCTTGGGTTTGGAGTCAGAGGATCTGGGTTCAAATCCTGACTCTTCTACTTGTTAGCACTTGACGAAGTTACTCAGTCACTCTGGGTCTCCTATTTCCCCATCTTTGAAAGAGTCCAACCTGGACTCGATCTCTCTGAGGCTTGTCCTTGCTCCAAATCCTATGATCAAGGTAAAGAGGATGGAGATCCCTTTTTTCCTGATTCCTTTGGTGTGGGGTCATGGGCTATTTAGGAAGCAGGGAAGATGGGAAACTGTGACACAGAAAGGACTGGGCACCCCTGGGAGAGGCATCCTAAGTGATGAGCATGCCTTCTGTCCTCCCATCTGCCAGGCTTCTCAGAGCAGCAAGGTCTCCCTCCCACGCTCAGTCTTCTTGGTCATCACTCGCTTTGCCGTCCTCACCGGGACAGGCTGGAGCCTGTGCCGTTCCATCATCCATCTCTTCAGGACCTACTCCTTCCTTAACCTCCTTTTCCTCTGTTACCCGTGAGTGACCCTTTTCCCTTTCCCAGCTCTCATTCTCCCTGCAGGGGCTCATTTATAGTGTTTTCTCCCTGGAATAGATATGAACATGAAGAATTAAAAAGTACTATAAGACCCTTAGCAAGTCAAGGTCGGGGGCGGGATCTGTCACGGGCCCTGGCCGTGATGGAGGTCGGGAGGGAAGTGGGGGTGGGATAAGGTGGGATAAGGAGACTCCGGGGAAGGGGAATCCCTTGGAAGAAGCAGCGTGGTGTAGTGGGAAGGACCTTGGATGCACAGGGCTTCCTGAGGATGAGATGAGGTCATAGACATCAGGGACCTTTATAAATGCCAGCTCTTGTTATCCAGAGTCAGATGAATGGCCTTGGGCCAGTGCCTTCACCTTTGGTCTTTAGTTTCCTAATTTGCAAAATTAATGTTTAGGATTAGGTGGTGTCTAAGGTCCCTCCCTCCTGTATAACCGTGATTATCCCCACAGTCTCTTCTCCTCCCTCCTGCCCCAGGTTTGGAATGTACATCCCGTTCCTGCAGCTGAACTATGACTTTCGAAAAACAAGCCTCTTCAGCCAGGTGGCCAACATTGGTCCTCGGGAGGCCGGAGGCAGTGGAGGCGGCCCTCCTTCACGGGGCCGGGACTACCTGACGGTTCTGAAGGAGACATGGAAGCAGCACACTCAGCAGCTGTACGGTGCTGAAGCAATGCCCACTCACGCCTGCTGCCTCTCCCCTGATCTCATCCGCAACGAGGTGGAATTCCTCAAGATGGACTTCAACTGGCGCATGAAGGAGGTACTGGTTAGCTCCATGCTCAGCGCCTACTACGTGGCCTTTGTGCCAGTGTGGTTTGTGAAGGTAGGTGCAGCCGTGGGCAGCGGGCACTTCCCCCTCGGGAGAATGCATGAAAAGACCCCAGTATTATGTGTAGGAAGCTTCCCTCCCAGCCCCTGTGGCAGGTGCGCTGCCTGCGGGCTCACTCTCAGCTGGGTCTGGTCTCTACTTTGAGTCAGAGATCTGTAGCACTTCTGGATTCCCAAAGCCCTGCACTCACAACCAGCCTGTGAGGCGTAGGTAAGATAAGGAATGTTAGCCCAGTCTGACAGATGAGGAAACTGAGGCTCATGGAAGGGAATTATTGACTCAGCCAGGCAGGGTCACACAGCTATCAGTGAACCTGGGAATCTGCTGCCTCGAAAACCAGCTCTCTCCCCTCTGCCAAGACAAGGTGGTATCAAACAGCTCTAGTCGGCATCTAGTCCTTATTTTACTAGATTAACCTGAGCAGGAAAGCAGTTTACCTGGATTTCAGTAAAGCCTTTGCCAAGGTGTCTCATGCTCTCTCTTTTTAAAATAGACCCTGCAATCAGAACCATAGGGCTCGAGCTCGAAGGGACCTTAGAGATCATTTCATCTAAACTCTTAATTTTGCAAATGAGGTAACTGAGGCCCAAAGAGGTTAAGTGATTTGCCCAAGGTGTAACACAGGTAGTAAGTGGCAGAGCCTGGGGATTTGAACTTGGGTCCAAGGACTCCAAGTTTAGCATTCTAAATGCAGTGCTCACTACATCATTTTCTAGTATTCCCTTCCTCTCCTTCCTTTCTCCCTATCCTCTCCCCACTACCCAAATACTTCCTTGTAATCAGGGTAAATCTGAGCAAAATCCACCCAACAAAGCAACTTCGCCTGACAGTGCATGTGGCATTGCACAATTCTGGTCTTTCTTTCAAGAGATAAGTGTGTTTCATGATCTGCTCTCTTGGATCAAGATTGGTCATTTCAATTCATCTGACTTCTGAAACATTTATGAGTTATTATCACTTATGTTATTTTTTAATCCATCTTATATTGTTCTCTAGATTGTACTTTCTCTACTCTAAATCAGTTCATACAAATTTTCCCACATTTCTCTGAATTCCTATAAATGGGCACCCGATTTGTTTCAAGTTTTTTGATACAACAGAGTGCTGCTGTGAATATTTTGTGCTATACGGGCTCTTACTTTTTGTCATTGACCTCCTGGGCCCAGTTGGAATCACTGGGTCCCAACTTAGTGATCTTTCTTGCATAATTCCTGGATTCCAAAACAGTGGGACCTAGTTCAAAGCTCCACCGACAGTGCAGTAGTGTGTTTGTCTCCAGATGGCTCTTCCAATACTGACTGCTTTTCATCTTTACCAGTTTTCAGGACATGAAGTCAAATATCAAAACTGTTTTAATTTGCATTTATCTGATTATTAGTGATTTAGAGCATTTTTCATATGGCTTTCGATATTTGTATTTCTTTCATATTATCTTTTTGAAAACTGGTCATATTCTTTGCCTACTTAGCATACAGATTAGCTTTTAGTCATCAATCTGTCAATTCCTGATGTGCTTTATTTTTTTAAGTTTTATTTATTTATTTTTGGTTTTTAACAGTCACTTCCATAAGCTTTTGAGTTTTAAATTTTCTCCCCCTTCCTCCCCAAGACGGGGTGCAATCTGATATAGGCTCTACATGTACATTCCTAATAAACATATTTCCATATTAGTCATGTTATAAAGAAGAATTAGAACTAATAAGAGGAACCACAAGAAAGAAGAAACAACAAGAAAAAAAAGCAAATGGTATGCTTCCATCTGCATTCTGACTCCATAGTTCTTTCTCTGGATGTGGATAGCATTTTCCATCATGAGTCTTTTGGAGTTGTCTTAGATGCTTGCATTGCTGAGAAGAGCTAAGTCGATCAAAGTCAGTCATCTCACAATTTGGCTGTTACGGTGTACTATGTTCTCTTGGTTCTGCTCACTTGACTCAGCATCAGTTCATATAAGTCTTTCCAGGTTTTTCCGAAGTCTGCCTGCTCATCATTTCTTATAGCACAATAGTATTCCATTACATTTGTATACCACAACTTGTTCAGCCATTCCCCAGTTGATGGCCATCCTCTCAATTTCCAATTTTTTGCTACCACAGAAAGAGCTGCTATAAATAGTTTTGTACATGTGGGTCCTTTTCCCATTTGTATGATTTCTTTGGGATACAGTCCTAGAAGTGCTATTGCTGGGTCAAAGGGTATGCATATTTTTATAGCCCTTTGGGCATAGCTGATATGCTTTAGATGTCAGATTTTTATTAGAGATATTTGAAAAAATATTCTTTCCCAACATATTTCTCTTCTTCTAGTTTCATTGGTTTCATTAGTTCTGTTCATGCAAAAGCTTTTTAAATTTTATAAAGTCAAAATTGTCTATTTTGTCTTTTGTGATGTCTCCTGTCCCTTGTTTGCTTATGAATATCCCCCCATCCATAGATGTTGAAAGGTGCTTCCTTCTCTTCTCTCATTTATTTATAGTGTGGCCTTTTCTGCAAAAGACATTTATTTATTGTCATGTTATTATGGTATCTCAAGCTCTTCTTGAGAGACAAAGTGGTAACAGGTGTTTTCAGAATTGGTTGAATGACCGAACATATAGATGAGTTATTAGCAGTTCAGTGTAATCTTAAAAGAATGGTCTTTTGGTGGAGTGCCTTAGAGATCTTGTACTTGATCCTGGGCTATATAACATTTCAGTCAGTAACTTGGAAAAAGGATATATGATGAATGCTGCATTAGATTTGCAGGTGACTCAAAGCCAAGAGAATTTATCCAGTTCTTTGTCCAATAATCAGGATCCAAGTAGGTCTGGACAGGCCAGAACTTTCTTCTAAATTGAATAAGATGAAATTTAGTAGAGATCAATATAAATCATATCCTTGGGCTCAACAAAGTCAGTGTCACAAGATGCTGTGAGAAGAGGCAGAACCAAAAAAAAAAAAGTCATTGGGAAGATGTAGTCATCATTTCCTCTGATGAAAATCTGAGCCAGGAGTTGAGTGGGTCGGGTGAAAGGGTGAAAGCCATGTAAGAAGGGGAAAAAAAATCTTTGTATCAAATATCTAATCAGGGTCTGATAGCCAAAATATGTACACAGCTAATAGCTATATAGAAGACAAGGGGCCATTTCACTTAGTGATCTTATCAGCTTCCTTGGGTTTAGTTATCGTCTCTGTGCTGATGATTCTCAAATCTGCTTATCCAGCCCTATCCTCTCTCCTTACCTCCAGATTTAAATCTCCAACTGCCTTTTGGATGTCTCAGATTGGATGTCTCATCAACATCTTAAATTCCACATTCTTCTCACCCCAAACCCTTTTCTTGCTAACTTCCCTGTTACTGTTGAAGGTACCACTATTCTCTTCTGTCATCCAGACTCAAAACTGAGGTATCCTCCTGAACTGAGGAGAATATTCTCTCATTTCCCATCTCTGGTCTGTTTCCAAGGGTTATTGATTTTATCTTGCACTATCTCTCAGAATGTGCCCCCATCTCTCCTCTGACACTGCCACCACCCTGATACAGTCTATTATCACCTTATGCTTGGACTATTGCAGTAGCCTGGTTGGTGGGTCTGCCTGCCTCGAGTTTCCCCCTACTTCAGTCCATCCTTCACTCATTTGTTAAAGTCATCTTCCTAAAGCACAGGTCTGGCCATATCACTCACTGGACCCATGTTGAGTGGTATCTTATCGCCTCCAGGATCTGATATAAAATCTTCATTTTGGCATTCAAACCTTTCATAACCCGTCTGTGCCCCCTCACACACACATGCACCCCCTTTTCAGGCTTCTTATACCTGACGCCCTCCCCCAATTTACTCTGTGGTAAGTTACACTGGTCTTCTTGCTGTTCCTCAAACACGACGCTTCTCAGATGCATAACATTTACTAGCTGTGTGACCCTGGGCAAGTCACTTAACCCTGATTGCCTCACCAAAAAGCAAAAAAAAAAAATTCAAACACAACACTTCATTTTGTGACTCTGGGCATTTTTACTGGCTGTCCCCCATGCCTGGAACGCTCTTCTTCATCTTCACTTTCTGATTTCCCAGCTTCCTCCAAGTCCCAGCTAAAATCCCATTGTCTACACAAAGCCTTTCCCAGTCCCCCGAATTCTTATGCCTTCTCTCTGTTGATTATCTCCAATTTATCCTGTCTATCTTCTTTGTACGTAGTTGTCTGCATGTTTTCACCAAGCCGCCTCTGCCCATCAAATGGGGCACAGTTAAGTAAATTGTGGTACCTGAGCGTAACGGAATTACTGTTGTGCTGTAAAACAAACAGTGACTCTGATGAATACAGAGAAGCTTAGAAGACTTCTATGAACCGATGCAAAGAGAAATAAACAGAACCAGTAAAACAATACACATAATGACTATGGCATTGTACATGGACAGAACAACAATATCAATCAAAACTAAGTGCTGCAAAATTAGAATGACCAAGCATGGCCCCAAAGAATAATAATAGTAATAATAATAACAACTAGCACTAAGACCTACAGTGCTGGAAGGTTTGCAGAGCAAGCTCATTTGATCGTTACAACAACCCGATGAGGTCGATGCTGTTATTATCCTCATTTTACGGATGGGGAAAATGAGGCAAACTTAAGCGGCTTGTTCGGGTCACACAGCTAGTGTCTGAGGCTGGAGTTGAACTCAGGTCTTCCTGACTTCCAGGCCTTGGGCTTTATCCACTGTGCTGCCTAGATGCCAGAGAAGAGATATGAGAAGGCTTCTTTGCAGAGGTGGAGGATCATGGATATCAAAAACAGCTTGTTAAATACGTGGGTCAATTCCACAGAACCTCTTCTTCTTTTTGAATATTCATTATTATAAGGGATGACTTTCTGAGGAGAAGGGAAGGTAAGAGATAAGATGAGATACAAAAACAGAAGATGTCAACAAAATTTTATTTTGAGAGGTATATTAGTTGTGTTGAGGCAGCCAAAAAAAGCAAAGATAATATTGGGCTGAATTAAGAGGGCCCCAGTGTTCAGGACTAGGGCAGTGGTAGTTCTGCTGGACTGTGCTTGGGCTGGGTCATGTCTGGAGTATTGTTTTCAGTTCTAAGAAATACACTGACGAGCTCTCTGGGGAAAGGCACCTAGGATGATGGGGAAAAACCCAAGATCATAGGAAGAATGATTTTGAAGGAACTCGTGGTTAGCCTAGACAAGAGACGGCTTGTCGCAGTCAAGTTAGCTGCTTTCTGGCATTTGAGGGACCACCCCTTGCCTGAGGGATTATATCCATTTTGTTTGATCCCAGAGGTAATGGGGGGAAGAGGCAGACAGGATGTAAGGACAGAATTCCTAACAGAATTGCTTCAAAGGGGTGCAGACTCCCTAGAGATGTTTGTGCAGAAACTGGATAACCGTGCTCGTCCACTTAATTTTAGAAAGGATTCTTGTTCAAGATTGAACTGGATTGGCTGCCTCTGAGGTCCCTTCCAGTTCTGAGATTTTGTGATTCTGGGACCTGGTTTACCACCTTTCTGACCTTCCTCCCCTTACGTCTTCAGTTTCTTTACCTGGAAAATAAAAAGATCATAGCAGGTGATCTCTGAGGATCCTTCTAGCCCAAATCCTGTGGGAAGCTGGCTTTCTCCTTAAGGGGAGGCCTGGGAGCTGGTGAAGAGGCGGGCCCCGAGAGGATGGGTCCTCTCCTATTTCCTGATGCCACCACACTTTCCTCTTTGTCTCCTTGCCCAGAACACCCATTATTATGACAAGCGCTGGTCCTGTGAGCTCTTCTTGCTGGTGTCCATCAGCACCTCGGTGATCCTCACCCAGCACCTCCTGCCTGCACACTATTGTGACCTGCTCCACAAAGCTGCTGCCCACTTAGGCTGCTGGCAAAAGGTGGATCCTGCCCTCTGCTCGAACGTGCTTCAGCATCAGTAAGTGGGGGATGCAGGGAGGCCAAGGGGAGGGGCGAGCAGGATCTCCCACCCCAGCTGAAGGGAGCTCAGCCACCTCCAGCAGACGGGGAAGGGGGCGAGGGGCTCATGGAGGGCTTGTGCCTGTGATCTCCAGAGTTGTAGTAGGAGACAGGACCAAAAAAGCACCCCCTCTGCCAGGCTGAGGCTTCTGCCAGAGACGCCTAATAATTTCCGTTTCACCTAACTCGAGGATTCTCAATGGGCAGTGTGGCAGAAAGATGGCTGGATTTCCATTCTGAGTTCCTGGATTTTAAACTCAGTTCTGCTGGTGTGTGACCCTGGACATGTCACTCCAGGCTTCAGGGTTAGATTGATTGATTACATGAGCCCTAAGGTCCTTTCTGGCTCTAGAATGATGATAGCTAACATTGCTATAGCACCTACTACGTGCCAGGCACTGTGCTAAGCACTTTAAGATTATCATCTCATTTGTTCCTCACAACAGCCTAGGGAGGTAGGTGCTATTATGATCTCCATTTTATAGATGAGGAAACTGAGTCACACAGCTAGTAAGTCTCTGAGGCCCAGCTCTAGCTACTGTGCCACCTAGCCCTCTCTAATCTGTGGAAACAGAAGGAGACTTTCTCTGCTTGGCTCCAGGCTTAACTAGGGGTCGTGGATTAAGCTCTGGACTTGGAGTCACCAATGTCTGGGTTCAGATCCCTCCCCAGACTCATACTAGCTGTGTGAACCTGGACAAGTCACTCAACTGCTCTGTGCCTCAGTTTCTACACAGGTAAAAATGAGAGGGTTAGACTTGGCGGCCTTTAAAGATCCTTCCAGATCTAAATCTATAACGCTAAAAAGTTGTTGAGGCAGATTGAGGGAAAATTTTGTACGCCCTTCCAAAAGTGAGCTAGATGTCCCAGGAGAGAGGACATCCCAGGTGTTGAGCGGAGGCTGAGGGGCTGCCTGTCAGCAGTGGTGTGAAGGAGATTGCTGCTCAGGAACAGTGGGACGCCGTGCCCTCTGAGAGGCTGTGATTCTGCACTCTGGTCATGTGCCTGTTTTACAAATGGAGAAACATCACCATCGTCATCATTTCCCCTTCTCTAATCCATTAAGGTCTAAAGAACACTTTCCTCCCGGCAGCCCCCTTGGAGGGCAGCCCGGATGATTCTCATGAGTCTCGTTTTACCAGTGAGGAAGAAGGCGCTAAGGGTTAAGTGATTTGTCCGTATGCATGCGTCAAGCATGTGTCTGAGGTGGGGTTTGAATCTTGGTCTTGTGACCCCCAGTCCAGATTCTCAGTTTCTTTAAAGAAGCTTGTTTTAAAGAGGATCACTTCCAGATCTCATTCGCTGTCACGTAAATGCCACCGTGATCTTGTCCGTTTCTTATCAGACAAAGCCGAGTCATGTCGGGATAACTGATATGTATGTACGGTCAGACCGAAGCTTCTCTGGTTCAGTTGAGGACGTAAAAAGTTTCTTCTTACCCTTAGCACATCTGGATTCCAGTCATGAACTTATTTATTTTAGAAGAAAAAGTTTAATCCAGATCTCCGATTCTCAAAAAGGAAAATGATTTAACATCTTCTTCTGAACGCAGTGCTGCCCTCACCCCAGGCTCCCTGATCTAGATCTGACACCCTTTTTAGCACTGCTGGTGATGGGAGAGAGTCTCCTTCCACCATCATTAATTAAGCACCTACTGGGTGCCAGTCCGACAGAGAACAAAGCAACCTCTGATCATAAGGGGTTCCTATTCTACCAGGGCAGAGGACGAGTATGTGTAGAAATCTAGAAATAGAGGCTGGGGCCAGGAGTGAAGGTTTTAAAAACAAAGAGAGATTGTATTTGATCCTAAAGGCAATAAAAGAACCATTGGGGCTTATTGAGTGGAGGAGTAAGATCTGCATTTAAGGAAAAATCACTTTGGCAGCGTTGGGGAAAATGCACTGGAGTAGGGGGAGACTTGAGGCAGGAGACCAGTTAGGAGACTATGGAAACAATCCAGGCAAGAGGTTCCGAAGGCCTGCACCAAGGTGGTATGTTTGTGAGTAGAGAGAAGGGGCTGAGTACGAGATGTTGTGGAGGTAGAAACAGCAAAACTTGGCAACTGATTGTCTTTGTGGAGCGAGACAGGGTGAAGAGCAGGGAGAATGCCAGTGTTGCCAGCCTGGGAGATTGGAAAGGTGGTAGTGCCTTCAGCAGGGGTAGGGGGGTAGGACTTAAGTGAGGTTTTCCTGAGGCAGAAGGTTTGAATGGGGTATTTTGCCTCAGCCTTGAGTTACCAAGCATGTATTAAGTGCCTGCTATCTTCTAGGCACTGTGCTAAGAACTAGGATGACAAAGACAGGCCAAAACAGTCCCTGCTCTCAAGGACCTCACAGTCAAATAGAGTCTCAAACTTCCGACCAACCCACTGAATAGCCTGAGTCTATGCCCTCAACCCCCGTTATAGCCCCATTTCCTTCTACGTGGAGTAAAAGCAGCGGGGCCTTGCCTAGTCAGAAAAACCTAGGCTCAGGTGCTCCCCTCAACTCTCAAGAAGGCAAGTGACAGGGAGACACCGATCCATTGGCAGAAGGAGGTTCCCTGAAAGGACAAGTCTGGGGTTTTTAGAAAAGGTAGTATGGGATCTCAGAACTGGAACGGTCTTCAGAGGACATTCAGACCAACTCATTCCTGCTCCTTCTATGATGCCCATGAAAGTGGTTATCCGGCTTTCTCCTGAAAGCCGCAACAGGGTCACCGTATCACTCCCATTCCATAGGTAGTTATTAAGTGCCTGCTGTGTGCAAAGAATTGTGTTAGATGTCAGGCAAGATTCAGAGCTAGGGAATGCAGGGTAAGTCCTTGTGCCCCGGGGATGCCCAGTCCATCATGACCAATACACAGAATGGTGTGAGGGTGCCGTGGGAATAGATGACTACTAGCCGAGGGGATCAGGGACGACTGCCTGGAAAGTAGGATGGGTAGAAATTCAGTAGCCAGGAGATGGGGAGGGTGCAGACAAGAAAGCAGGAAGGGTGTACAAGAAAGCCAGTCTTCCATTAGTGTAGAGTATATGGAATTGTGTAAAAAAGGATGAAAAGTTAAGGAAAGTTCAGATTATAAAGGGCTTTGAATGCCGGGCAGAGGACTTTCACCTTTGGTCTGTAGTCACTAGGGAGCCTTTGAAAGGTTTTGAGCCAAGGAGTGACATAACCAGGCTTGTTCTGGCTGCACATGACTGGTGTATTAGCATGTATAGAGTGGGCTCTTTAAAGCCCCTATTGGGTGCAAATGAGGGCTTATGCTAAGTTCCAAGTACTGGGCAGTGTAGGTAACAGCTCTTGTTCATTCTGGCTTCTTTCCCTGCCATATCACACTGCCAACTGAGAGTTGACAGAGACCTTGGACAGCGTTTAGTCTGACCACTCTGCCATGCAGGTGAGGAAGAAGGGATGTGACTGAGGTCACCTATCAGCTCACTGGCAGAGGCGGGGCCATAAGCCAGGCCTTCTCTCTCTTAGTCCAGCATTATTTCTCCGTCCCCTTCCTCCTTCTTCATCCCAGCCTCAGTGCTCTTGAGCTCTCATCCCCATAGATAGGTCCCAAGCCGCTGGACAGAGGCATGGGCCTGGTGTGATAGGACATTGCTGGACTTTCCCCACAGGTGGACAGAGGAGTGCACGTGGCCACAGGGTGTACTGGTGAAACACAGCAAAAATGTCTACAAAGCCATTGGCCACTACAATGTGGCGGTGCCTTCAGACGTCTCCCATTTCCGCTTCCATGTGAGTGTTTTCTCTACCAGAAAATGGGGCATGAAGGGTGGGATGGGTGTGGGTGGGGCAGATCCTGCTGCCTGAGACGGGGAGCCCCACCTGAGGATTCAGGTGACTCACTTGTCACATCACCCAGTGTTCAATTCCATAAATACAGTGCTGTGTGTGTTCCGGTGCTGAGTATCTAAGTATTTGGGATACAAAACTAGATCAGACCTTTGCGGCGTTGTAATCTATTGTAGTAGATGAGGATACACCTGCACAAATAAATATAATGCAAATGAATATCTTGTGAATGCATAGAAGAGATATGAACAGTGTGCTGTGTGGAGAGAGCAGAGGGAAAGGTCATTGCCACTGGGGTATCCCAGGAGGCCTTTCTGGAGGAGGAAGCATCCTAGCTGGGTCTGTCCAAAGAAAACCCTTGTGGAACAATAACCCCTCCCCTCTGCTAGTTTTTTTTTAGCAAACCACTGAGGATCCTCAATATCCTTCTTCTGCTTGAGGGAGCTGTCATCTTCTACCAGCTGTATTCACTGGTCTCCTCAGAGAAATGGCACCAGACCATTTCTCTGGCACTCATCCTTTTCAGCAACTATTACGCCTTCTTCAAGCTGCTGCGGGACCGGCTGGTACTGGGCAAGGCATACTCCTATTCAGCCAGCCATCGCCAGCCCGAGCACAAGTTCAGTTGAATCGAGGCTAGCTGGGCCATTTCAGGAGGATGGGGTGGGACTGGGGGGGAGGGAAGAAAAAAACAACCAAAAAACCCACAAAAAAAAAATCAGAGCTCTGTATTTTTGTTACGACTGTTCTTTCTTTGATAACTGATGTAATTAAAAGGAGAAAAGAAATGACATATTTTTGTACTCCCAATGACCCGTGTCTTGTGGTTATTATAAGGTGGAGTCAGGAGAGGGACCTCTTAGGACTCTGGGTTGGGAAGGAAGACACCTGGGTCCCAGGGCTCCCTAACGTCTGACTTCGCATTCTTCCATTGAGGACAGTTGTTTCAGATATCCCTGTGGTTCAGTTGTTAGGAAGTTAAACCAGAATTCAAAACACTTGGATTAGAGTGGGCTGCTTTGGTAGGTAATGAGTTCTGTATCACCAGAGGTCTCCAAACAGAAACTGGCTGGCTGGGTGTTTGGGGGAGGGTATAAAGGAGGGTTTCTATTTAGGTACCAATATCTTTGACTAGATAATAACTAACAAGCCTTCCAACTCTTGAGATTCTGATTGTAATCAGCCATCGTTAATTCCCTGTGTGACCTTAGGCAAGTCACTTTTCATCTCTGGGGCTCAGTTTTCTCATCTGTAAAATGAACAGATTGGACTAGAAGATCTCTAAGGGTGGGTCCTTCTAACTAACATCAGTCTCTGAATGCTGAGCTCCTGTCCTAAGAGTGCACATGGGGCATATGTTGATATTAGATTAAATGTGTTTATGTTTAATGTGAATTAATTTTGTTTTGATAACTTCCTGACATTCCTTAGGATGAGGCTATACACACAGGTGTTGGAAAAGCAGTTGAAATCACAGCATTACAGAATTTGCTGCAAATACTGTTTTTAAATAGCAATATGACAAGAATACCACATTTTGAGTTGGAGCCAGCTCACTTCCTGTGAGATTTTGGGCAAGTCACAGATCTCTGGGCTCAACTTTATAAAATGACAAAGTTAGACTAACAGGTGTTCTTAACCTGGGATTTGTGAATTTGCTTTAAAATATTTTTATTACAGTACTTGTTTCAGTTTAATTGGTTTCCTTTTTTAGGAATGTGTGTGTGTATGTATACATACATATACTAGTGATTAAAAAAAGTGACAATCTCTGTCTTCAAGGACCTTACTTTTAAAAAAAAAATGAGGGGGCAGCTAGGTGGCGCAGTGGATAGAGCACTGGGCCTGGAGTCAGGAGGACCTGAGTTCAAATCTGGCCTCAGATACATAATACTACCCAGCTGTGTGACTCTGGGCAAGTCACTTAACCCCAGTTGCCTCACAAAAAAAAAAAAATTTTTTTTTACAGTTTTCAACATTTGCTTCCATAAGCTTTTGAGTTTTCAATTTTCTCCCCCTCCCTCTCCTCCCTACTCCCCAAGACAGCATGGAATCTGATATAGGCTCAACAAATACATTCATATTTAACATTAGTCAGGCATGTTGTAAAGAAGTATTAGAACCAATGGAGGGGAATCATGAGAAAGAAGAAACAAAACAACAAAAGAAAAGGATCAAATAGCCTGCTTCCGTCTGCATTCAGACTCCAAAGTTCTTTCTCTGGATGTGGATAGCATTTTCCATTGTCAGTCTTTCGGAGTTGGCTTAGATCTTTGCATTGCTGAGAAGAGCCAAGTCTATCAAAGTTAGCACACAGTGATGCTGTTACTGTGTACAGTGTTCTCCTGGTTCTGCTCACTTCACTTTGCATCAGTTCACGTAAGTCTCTCCAGGTTTTTCTGAAGTCCGCCTGCTCATCATTTCTTATAGCACAATAGTATTCCATTACGTTCATATACCACAACTTGTTCAGCCATACTCTGATTGATGGGTGTCTCCTCAATTTCCAATTCTTGGCCACTACCAAAAGAGCTGCTAACAATATTTTTGTAAACATGGGTCCTTTTCCCATTTGTATGATCTCTTTGGGATACAGACCTAGAAGTGGTATTGCTGGATCAAAGGGTATGCATAGTTTTATAGCCCTTTGGGTATAGTTCCAAATTGCTCCCCAGAATGGCTGGATTAGTTCACAGCTCCACCAACAAAGCATTAGTGTAAGGATCTTACTTTCTAGTGGGGAGAGATAAATAGAGTGGAGTGGTAGCCAAGGAGGAGTAGTTCGAAAAATTAAATGGATGATGAGTGGAGCCATAGGGCAGTTGATTGGAATATCCTGCAGTAGCAGTGATTGATTTGGTTATGGTCATGATGGTGTAGCTTGGGTAAGAATCTACCAATTACAATGGTGTGGTTATTTCATTGGACAAGTAATTTTCATACGGTTTTTTTCTTGTGACAACAATAATTATCTGAGTGTGCCTCTATGGACATTAGGCTAAATTGGAACCTCTGGACTTGTCCAGATAAAACTGGATACAGCTGATGTATTCCACCTTAGTTCTCTGTCAATTGAGTGCTTGAGTTCTGTGCCATACACATGTGTTTCATTTGTTTCGCATTCTGGTTTTAAAGAATGGCTGTCACTCCAAGGAAATGTGCAAAGGTCTCAAAGAGCACACATCAATGACTGTTAGCCATATCCCAGCAGTTACTGGTGTCATTCAAGGATTATTCAAGTCCCACAGGGAAATGCAGGATCAATTACACCAAAACACAGAACAAAGTGTTGCTGGGGGGAAAAAAATGACCAAGAAGTGACAAATTGCTGCAAAATCGCCTAATTAATATTCAGAAAACAGGCAAAAGGGAAAACACATTTTTTAAAAAGGACTCACTGTAGCTATAAAGGGAAAAAATGGTGGTATAGACAATATAAAGATTAGAGTATTCAATATTGAAAAAAGATAATTTTTGTTTATGAAGCATACTTTTTCCTTCAGGGTTATAGCAAAACCATTGTCAGAAATCCAGAAGAGCCTGTTAGGTCTGGGCATTTTTATCAGAAGTCTTAAAACATTCTTTTGAAAAATAAGGGGTTTTTTTTGTTTGTTTTTTACTTCCAGTAGGACTTGAAAGACTTGTCCTGATTTAGGGAATCATGAACTCTAATAAATATACTGACATAATGAAAAGCAGGATTACTCTGGAAGTGCAGGGAATTTCAAAATGGAGAGAAAATACTACAATACAATTTTATATCATGTCACATAATGAAAAATTTGAGATATCGATCCAAGAGATGGAAATAAACCTACTTCAGTTGCCTGTGAACTCACCTGCCTTACACCTAATTGGAAAGGAATGGGCTATAATCAAGGAGAGACTTGGAAAAATGAACTATTTGTCAAAGATATGGTTCTTATCTAATGAGATAAAAATTGAGTTTCATGATGAATTAACATGTCAAAATCTTGTGAGCTCGGTGCCAAATAATGTAAAACAAGGAACTGCAGCAAAAGGAGAACATACTGCAAATTAAAAGTTAAAGTGTAAAAACATAATATGTTATGTTTATACACTGTCCCCATTAACTTCCACAGAATTCCCTGTGTGACCTGAAACCTCTCTTCCATTTTCTGGGCCTCCATTTCTTTATTTGGAAAATCATAAAGTCCATCTCTAATGACCTAATGATCTCTAACGTCCCTTCCAAGTCCAAAATCCTAGGATTTACTCTTTTCTTCATATGAAACCATATTTCTTCCATTCATTTTACTTATGAAATAGGGGAGTGTTGGGGGTAGGGGGTTGGGGAGGCTAATAAGCATCTTCATGAAATAAAATTAGTTTTCCATAAAAATTTAAAAATGTTTTCAGCACCACATTTGAAAGAAAAATTATGACCTGAGTGAAAATAATCTTCAATATAAGCTGGAAAAAGAATAAAAAAGGACTAGAGTTGAACACCGTCTTTTAGTCTGAGTCAACGTTTGTTATTTATTAATCTCTCCGGTTCACCCTGGTACCTCTCGGTCACCCTCCTGTTCAGCTCAGCTTGCAGGCAACTTTTGAGGCCCCAGCAAGAAAAGCAAAGTGCCAAAGTCAGTGAGTGTTACAAATTGTCTCCGTGATAGAGACTTTTCAATTCCTGTGTCCTAGAGAGTTAACAGTTATTTTTCTCAACTGTGTTCAAGATGTTAAAACCTGACCATTTTGCATTACGTGGGAAAAGGGAGGGGGAAAAGATCCCTTACCACCTTATCCCTCCACTTCTCAAACCATCCCCCACCTCCTCAAACCACCACTAATCTCAGGCAAGTATTGAAAGGGCTCGAGCAGAAACTGAGTGTTTGAGGCCGAGTTACTGAGTCCATTAACTCAGTAAATTATTTTTGACCGGAGAAAGGAGGTTGAGGCAAGGGGAAGGAGGGGGTGAGATTAGGAGTTGGGGAAGTGGAAGGGGGGAAAATTAGAGTGAAAGATAGGAACATGGTAGCAAGCATCAATAAATATTTTTTAAGCACCTACATTGCCTGGCTAAGAGCTGGGGGTTATTGTTTGTCCTTCATTCTCAAAGAGGACCGAGACATCAGGAAGGTGATGCCATGACTTTGTAAGTGAATTGGATTTAAGTGAGGGAGGGCTGTGCAGTCACCAGCCTCACTTTCTCCCCCACAGCCATCTGGGTCCATGACCAGATATAAATCAGGACTACTGGAGATGCCCCTCCCCCCCAGCTAGGGATTCAAAGAGGCAAAAGACAGCCCTTGCCCTAAAGGAGCTTACAATCTAATGGAGGAGACAGCATGCAAACAAATACAAAGCAAGATATATACAGGATATATACATGACTCTGTGGACAAACTCCATGGGGTTTTCTTGGCAAAGATATTGAGTGGTTTGCCATTTCCTTATCCAGTGGATCCTTTTTGTTTGGCTATCAGAGGTTAAGTGACTTGTCCAGGGTCACACAGCTAGCAAGTGTCTGAGGCTGAATTTTAACTCAGGCCTTCCTGACTCTGGGTTCAGTCTATCCACCGAGCCACCTGCTGACTCCTATAGAGGATAAACAGCAGATAATTAACAGAGGGAAAGCACTGGAATTAAGAGGGGCTGTGGAAGGCTTCTTGTAGAGCAAGTAATGTGGTGGGAGAAATACAGGATGGTGTAATTGTATTGAGAGCACCCATCAATCGAGCACCCAAACAACTAGCGTTTATTTTTATTTTTTTGGCAGTTTTTTTATTTTATTTTTTTAACATGTGTTTTTAAAACTTTGGATTACAAATTTTCTCCCTTCCTCCCTCCCCACCCACCCTCATTGAAAAGGCAAGCATCTCCATACAGGTTATAGATGTGTACTCATACAAAACACTTCCATAGTAGTCATGTTGTGAAAAACTACAACAAGCTTAATATAAGCCAGTGGTAAGTGCTGGCACACAGTAAACAGTAAATACCTGTGGACTGATTGTTGACTGACTATTTAGATCAGGAGTTCAAATCCTCCTGATTTACTTTGTTCGGTGTTCCAGTTGTGTCTGACTCTTTGTGACCCCATTTGGGGTTTTCTTGGCAAAGATACTGGAGTGGTTTGCCATTTCCTTCTCCAGATCATTTGATAGATGAGGGAACTGAGGCAAAGAGGGTGAAATGACTAGCCCGGGGTCACACAGCTAGGCAGTAGCTTAATAAACACTGAGTGACTAGATGATCCCTAAAGACCTGGAGTAAAAGAAAGGAGTTCAAATCCCAACTTGGTAAAGGATGATTCGGGGGGGCCCCTCTCATTCCCGGGGGGCTGGACTTGTAGCTCTAAACACTATGGTCCTAAGAAGTAGCGCTTAGTGTGGATCAGAAAGAAACCATCCTGGTCTTTTTTTTCCAATCTTGCTCCGCTCCCGCTCCCGCTCCCTCCCTGCAGGACGCGGCCCCTTTAAGCACGCCCTGGCTACGTAACTTAAGCCGCTGAGTTCGGAGCGCGTTCCAGCGCCCGACCGAGGCTGAGGAAGTTTGTCCACTTGGGGCCGCCGTCGCGCCGCGCCGCCATATTGTCTGCTGGAGCCGCCGTCGGAGCCGCCGCCAGAGCCGCCGCCAGAGCCGCCGAGGTGTCCTGAGGGAGCGGAGCTGCGCCGGGATGGGTGAGTGCGCGCGGGGGCCGAGAGGCCTCTCCCCACACGGGCTGGAGGCGCGACTCCGGCGACCCGGGCCGGACGCCGTGTGAGGAGAGGCCGGGGGCCCCTCGGGCCGCGCCGAGGCGGGGCTGAGCCGGAGCTGGGGCTGGGGCCGGGGCGGACGCCCCTTCCTCCCTGCCGTCGTCTCCTTGCTTCCCCCGAGGGGGCCGGGGACGCCTCCCTGAGCGCTGACAGAGGGGGCTCGCAGCCTCCGGGCCGTGCCTCGGCCGTCCCTGCTCGGGGGAGTGGGTGCCCTTCCCCGGCTATTCCCCCTTCAGCCTCCCGGTGGGAAGGGACGAGCCTCCCCGCTGCTCGCCGCCCGGGACCCTCCGGGGGAGGCAGCGTTGATGCTCGGCCTAGACCCTCCTGGGCGAAGACTGGTCAAGCGCCTCGCTCCGTGCCTGGCACGTGGTCGGCGCTTAATAAATGCTTATTCCCCTCGCCTGGCCGTCCTCTGGGAGACCTGTAGCTCCCCCCTCCCCCTCCCCCTCCCCGCTTGTACTACTGCTACTGCTGCTGTTGCTGCTACTACTACTACGCATTGATAGACCGCTGTAAGGATGCCAAGCACTTTTGCATAGATTAACTCGTTTGACACATTCCCCCCCATCAACCCCAAACCCTGTAGGGTTGGTGCTCTCAATGGGTGGCACCACAGTGGATGCAGAGCTCGACCTGGAGTCAGGAAGATCGGAGTTCAAATCCAGCCTCAGACACTTGAGAGGCGCTTAGTCTCTATCAGTCTCATCTGTAAAATGGAGAGAATGATGGCACCCCACCCCCAGGGTTGTTGTGAGGAAAAAAAGAGATATATATGTAAACGTGTTTATATATGTGGGTGTATATGTGTATACACAAATATGTATGTGTGTGTGTGTGTATACATACATACACACATATATGCTGTTTGGGTTTTTTAATCCACATTATATAGGTGAGGAAACTGAGGCACAGAGAGGCTAACATGTCATTCCCTGGACACCTAGCCCATTACGTGTGTTCAGTGTGATGCTTTTGTTGGACTAGGGGAGATAAATTAGTTGTAGCTGGGGCTTCCTGAGTAATTCAACTAAGAAATTGATCCCAGCTTTGATATTCCCCTTACCACTTAGGTGAACTCATCTTCTGGAGCCAAACCGTAGTACCTTGTACATCACGTCAGTTCTGAGTGCTTGTTTGAGTTTGAACCTTACAGGTAAGGAGAATCTAGTCAGGTGAAAAAACCAGCTCGGGGTCACACAGCATGAGTGATGGCTGAGACTTTAAAGCAGACCTCTTGACTCAGACTTTATGTTTCAGAACCTGAGGAAAAAACTTGCTAGTGTTCTTAGTTCAAATATAAGGTGAGGAAGCATGGATAGACAGATAGAAGTCATTCTGAAAAAGATCTGAGGGTTTGAGTGGCCTGCAAATTCAATACAAGTCAGTAGTGTCATGTGTCAGCTAGAAAAGTTAATCCCTTACCCCGGCTTTATTAAGAGTGGAATAACCTTTGAAAATAGGGAGGCTATACATATACCACACTCTGCCCTTATCAGACCTTATGTGTGCAGTAGTGTATTTAGTTTTGGACACTACGGTGTAAGCAGGATATTGATCAATTGAAGAATGTCCAGAAGTAGATAAGTCAGCTAGGAAAATAAGGAAAAAATACATTTATTAAGTGTAGCACAGCCTTGTGAGGTAGATGATATTATTAGCACTCATTTTACAGTTGAGAAAACTGAGGCAGAGTTAAGTGACTTTCCCAAGGTCCCACAGCTAGTAAGTGTCTGAGGCTGGATTTGGCTTCAGGTCTTCCTGACCAGGGTCAGTATTCTGCATACTGTACCATCACCTACCTTGTTGCCTATAAAGAAAGGTTAAGAAATAGGGCATGTTTAGGAAAGGTTAAGAAATAGGGAAAGAAGATTTGGGGGACATGATGTCTCTTTTTCAAGCATGTGGGGAACGGGTTAAAATTTGCTGTTTGGCCTCTCAGCAGAACCAAGAGAAGTGCCTGGAAGACATGATGGACTCCCCCTCTTTGGAGACTTTCACACATCGGCTGGACAATTGCTATTTGGGGGAGTGGCCTTACTTTTGTGAATGGGTCCAGGTAGATGACTGAGTCTGTGATTCCACTTTGTGTCTATCCTCTTGTGCCAGTATTCTCTGAGTAATCAGATGGAGCTTTTGGAAATGTGGAACTGAACCGGGGAAGAACTAGTCCAATGCAGGTGCAACAGGTTGTAAAAATACTTCACTAATAGAATTGAAAGTTCCACCCCTGCCCTTTGTTGGTACGGTCGTTTTGGATTGAAATCTTACAAAGTGAAGAAGAGATTAAACTGGGTCAGAAAGTATTTACTTTTCCTTGAGAGCAGAGAGGATATCTTGGTTCTCTTAACTGGCAAGTGCTCTTGGGCTCCTCTTGCCCATCTAGTCAGTCAGCAAGCATTTGTTAGGCATTTACTGTGTGTCAAGCACTGCACTAAACCCCATATCCAGAGAAGGGCAAAAACATGTTCAGCAAGTAGGCCAGGATAGCTGGAGCATAGGATTGATGGGGAGGGGGTGCATTAAAGTATCAGAAGACAGAAAAAGTAGAGAGGGACCAAGTTGTAAAGGGCTTTCAAAGACAAAAAAGCTGGCTTCCCAGCCGTCTGCAGGACAGGTATGTTACTGCTGTATTGTGTGAACAGGTGTATTGATTAAGTAGTTATCATTTCAGTCAGTAAATCAGCTAGCATTTAACTAGGCTCCTAGTGTGTGCCAGTAACTGCTAAGTGCTAGGGATACAAAGGAAGGCAAAAGATAGCCTGCCTGCAAGAAACTCAGTCTGTGGGGGAGACAACATGCGGGCAACTATGTACAGTTAGATATAGACAACAAGATAAATTGAGAGTGATACTAGAAGAGAGGCATTAAAATTAAGGAGGACTAAGTAAGGAAGCCAGGTAAGCTAGGAGGTGGACTTGAAGGAAAGCATTCCAAATATGGGGGATAGCCAGTGAGGATGCTCAGAGTAGGGAGATGGAGAGCAGCAGGGAGCAAGGAACAGCAAAGAAGCTGGTGTCAATGGATTGCAGAGTACATAAAGAGGTAGTAAGGTATAAGAAGACTGAAAAGGTACAGGCCAGTTTATGAAGGGCTTTTAAAGCCAAACAGAAGGTTTCATATTTGATACTAGAGGCAATAGGGAGCCATTTAGAATTGATTGAATAGGGGGGTAATGTGGTCAGGAAGACTCATCTACCAGAGTTTCAGACCAGCCTCAGACACTTACTAGCTATGTGACCCTGGGCAAGTCACTTAATCTTGTTTGCCTCTGTTTCTTCAGCTGTAAAATAAACTGGAGAAGGAAATGACAAACCATTCCAGTATCTTTGCCACGAAAACCTCAGATGGGGTCACAAAGAGTTGGACACAACTGAAATGACTGAAGAATAACAAAAATGGTCATACTTGATCTTTAGAAATATTACTTTGACAGCTGGCTAAAGGATAGACTGGAGGGGGAGAATCTTGAGACTTTCAGGGAGACCAGCCAGCAGGCTATTGGTGAGAGGCCCAGATGAGAGATGATCGCTTGCACCAGAGCGTTGGCAGTGTCAGAGGGAAAGAAGGAGGCGTGTATGAGATGTTTTTAAGAAGGTGGAATAGATAGACTTGACAATTGATTGGATATCAATCAGTCAATCAGGAAGCATTTATTAAGCACCTGCATATGTGTCAGGCACTATGCTCAGGGGCTCGGGATGCAAAAAAAAGTCAGAAGATGGTCCCTGCCCTCGAAGAGTTCACAGTCTAGGGGGGAGACAACATGCAGACAACTATGTACAAACAAGCTATAGACAGGATAAATGGGAAATAATCAACAGAGAGAAGGCAGTAGAGTAAGAGAAACTGGGAAAGGTTTCCTGTAGAAGATGGGATTTAACTTGGGACTTAAAGAAAGTCAGGGCAACCAGGAGGTGGAGATGAGGAGGGAGACCATGCCAGGTAGCAGAAACAGAAAAAATACTTGGAGCTGAAAGATGAAGTGTCTTATTGAGGAGCCACAAGAAAGCCACTGTCATTGGATCAAAGATTATGTAGAGGCATGTAAGATGAAAGAAGACTGGAAAGGCCAGGGCTGGGGGCTAGGTTATGAAGGGCTTTTAACAGCAAACAAAATTTTGGAGGTGTTAGGGAGTCACTGGACTTTATTGAGTAGGAGAGTGACACGCTTGGGCCTGCACTTAGCTGAATAGAGAATGGCCTGGAGTGACAGGGAGAAGAGGCAGGCCGACTAGCCAGCAGCATATTACAGTAGTGAAAGCATCAGTTAGTGAGGATCTGCGCTAGGGTGGCGGCATCACAGAGAAGGGGGCATGAAAGTGAAATCTACAGGCCTTTGCAAGAGATTGGATAGGAGGGGCGAGAAATGTCGAGGGTCAGGGGCGAGAAATGTCGAGGGTCAAGGACAACACCTAGGTTTTGAGCCTGGGGGACTGAGAAGATTCCCCTCAACAGTAATAGGGAAATTTGGGAGAAAAGATAATGAGTTCAGTTTTGGACATGTTGGGCTTACATTTGGGAGGAAAATACTTACAAAAAGAGAGGAGGGATGTGGAAATAAGTCCAGAAAGTCAGAAGCAGAGAGAGTCCAGAAGACAATGAAAGTTGGTCAGCCTGGACCTCTTCTCAAAATGGAGGTCCTGAGGGGCCCTTACCAATCGGAGTAGGAGGGCTGCACGGCTGAAAGATGTTCTTTGCAAGTAGGCTCCACACTCTAAAAGAGGTTCTAGGGTGAGACAACAGTTGTGTAGTACAGAAAAAATTACAGCTATATGTATTATCAGTTAAGTACATAGAGCTGGTGTTATGCAGACTTCTTAGAGGTATGTTGTCATTAGAGGTGCGGCTCAGAAGAAAGTATTAGAATCAAAAACTCTCACTTGAAAGAGACCTTAGAGACTATTTAGTCAACCCCTACTTGAATAAGAATTCCTTCTATAACACTCCCAATAAGTAGACTATTATCCTCTCCTTAAATACCTCTGGTGGAAAGTACTTTACTACCTCCCTATGTAGCCTATTCCACTTTTAGTCACTTCTAGTTAGGAAAATTTTACTTTTACTTCTGTTGTTCTGAAATTGCCTTTTTGTATTTCTACCAGTTACTCCTACTGCTTTCCTCTTGGGATCAGAAAGGGAACAATATAATCCTTCTTCCACATTTGTAAACAGCTATCGTTTTTCCCTGTCCTACACCCCCTCCCCAGTTTTTCTTCTGAAGCTAAACATTTTCAGTTACTTAAACTAGTCTTTATATGGCCCCTTCCTGTCTTGGGCTCTTCCTTTGGACTTGTTGATGTCCTCTAGCTTGACAATCTCCTTCTTAAAATGTGCCCCCAAAATAGAATATAGTGCCCCAGATCTTGTCTGTCCTAACAGAAGACAGTGGGACTCTGTTAAGGACATTCTACATCCTTTAATGTAGTGTAGGAGTAAATTCACTTTTGGGTGCCATGTCATGCTGTTTACTGAGCTTTCAGCCACTAAGACACCACTCCCCATGTTTTCGTTTCAGCCACTCTCCTCTATCTGTACTTGTGCAGCTGTTATTTTTTATCCTAAGTAAAACACATTAAATTATCCCTCAAATTTCATTGTGGCATATTTGGTCTATTTTTCTAACTTTTCCAAATCTCTGTCTCAACAGTTATCCAGATCTAGAGAATAGCATTGTGGACACACTTGTTGAGAATTTACTTTATAGGGAAGCAGATTCATACCAGTCTCCTAGAGGCAGGTTCTAGTTTAGTGTGGCAAGCTGAATCAAATTGTAACTCATCCTCCCTCCTTCCTTTTTTCGGCAGTTTTTCCTTTAGAGACAAGACAGCATCAGTGATTAGGAATGAACAGAGTCCACCTTCATTATCTCTTTAGGTATCTTCCTTTACAGGTAACATTTTCTTTTTAGGCTCACAACCCAGGCACTCAAACTTGATTTTCATTGGTGTGTTCTCTGCTTTGGTTGTATTGAGCACCAAGCTCTTAGGAAAAAGGAAGTTTTTCTTCTCTTTGTCAGCTGTAAATTTTTTTTTTTCATTTAAGCCTTGTCTTCATTCCAAACTCTGTACTGCCTTCTAAAGTCAAGCTTTACCAAACTTGAATGTGCTTTATGCAGTGATCGAATTGCCCTCATCAGCCCTAGCACCTGAGCTCTGTTTTTGTGGACTGTTGTGGGCAGAGAAAGTGCTGTCTGGGTTTGTTGAACCAAAGATCTATGATTCTGGGATTATTGAAGGCCATTCAGGCCGTACCCCTGGCCACAGCTCCTTTGTAACCCAACCTAGTATCTGTGGAGAATAACAGCTGACTGAGCTCTAGCTGCTACAGAGTTTGATGGTCGACTCACTTAGATGCCCTGCTGCTCAATGTCCAGAAACAAATGCACCGTGAGGAATTTGCATAGTTCTGATCTTTAGTTCTGCTGCTTACTAGCTGTGTGACTTTAGAAAAGTCATTTAATGTCTTTAGGCCATAGATTCCTCGTGTAAAAGAAAGGTGGTTGAATTAGATGATTTCTATAAATTCTCCAAGCTTTAAATCCTACGATCCTGTTAAATTGCTTCACTTGAATCATGTTTTTGTGGATTTGAAATTAGAGATGCCAGATTAGATACCAAAAATAGTGAAAATGCCGTTTTCATATATGTGTATATATGTGCTCGCACACACTTTAGCTCCATGATATTGTTGTTATAGATACTTTGTAAACCCCCTCCCACCACCACCATCACCTATGTCTCAGGAACTTTTAAAGAATGTATATTACCATAGGAAAAAGATCATTTGAGGATGAGCCTCTCTCTACTTAGCTAAGCAAGTCTTTAATAAGACAATACACTCCAGGTGAATAGCCTTCATAGGATCACCTCCTCATTGTAGCAAGTCATTGGAGGCCTTGATGTTCATTTGATGTTAATTTAGGTGGGAATTAGTGTTAGCTTTGGTAGCATCTAAGAAAAAGATCCTAAGTTGGTTCTATGAATTCAGTAAGGACTTATTGAACAGCTAGAGTTCCAGGTTAGCCTGTTAAAGGACTTCTGGGGCCTGTGGTAATCT